ATTATACGAATCCGAATGTACTGATAAAACTACCACCATGATGGTATATTTTATTCGTCACTTTTACGCATATTATACGAATCCGAATGTTCTGAAAGAAACTACTGCCTTTATGGTATATTTCATTCGTCACTTTTACGGATATTATACGAAGTCTAAAAAGATTGAAAATGAAGTTTATTAATTCAAAATATTTAGTGTATTTCTGGCATTTCACTTTGTTTTCTTTGTCCACGAACATGAAAAAAGGGGCATTCATATATGAGGCTAAAATTTTTCTATAAATTTTAACATGTGAGCTAAATCTTTACGTGCATTTTTTGCAAAAAATTATATTTTCTTAATTCAAACATCTTCAAAATAACTTATTTATTTTCTTATATCAAATTTGTTATTTTTATTCATATCAACACTTATATTAATTTACACAATTTAATTTCTTTTATGAAAATCCTATTACCCATTTAACTGGAATAAGCTGTATATTAAATTTGTGTACTTACTGAGTTTGGTACAATACTCTTCTTATTTTATTTAGCAAACGTGGGCAATTGAATTGGAATAAGACTAGCAAATCTTCCATGTCGAGGAATAGAATAATAAATACAGCAGAAGATGCTCGAAAACGTTTAACTTCTTGAACAATAGTTTAATGTAGACCAAAGGATCATTAATTATAATCAAAGATATACTAATATTTTTTATTAATAATAATAATAATAACTCTACGAAATTGCAAGCTGAATCCTGATATTTTACATATATTTCAGTTCCTTTAATCTTTGTTATGAAAATCATATGAGGCTAATTTTTTTTAAATTTTGTTTAATGTACGGAAAAAATGATATAGCGATTTTAATAATTTTTATATGAGGAAAAAATTAATAAATAATGTAAATAAATAATTATATTATATTTTTATATTTTTCCTGAAACAGTTAAAGACATTCTTATATGGAGATCTACAGAATAAGTACAAGGGTCCAGTTAAATGAACTCAAAATTTGCATAGGTTAATTTTACGCTAAATTAAAAATTTAACCGGATTTACGATTATACACTGAGCATGCGCATATACAGACATTTCTATTTTTCGTAGAAAAATTTAATTATTACCTTAATACAGAGATGCTGTGAATATAAATTTATATAATGCAAAAGTAAGTTTATTTCATATGCTAATTTAGAGGCTTTCTTAATATGTTTAATTATAAAGAAAAAAAAGCGTTGCAATTCTTGTTCACTGACCAATGGCAAAGCAGACACTTTCTACTTCCGGTTGTGGCGGGATATTTGTGAAGTCAGCACTCAGCAATGGCGGTCGAAAAGAATGGTAAAGTCGCAAAGAATGCTGTTTGTTCGTGGATTGGCATTTGTGACTGAATTACTAATTATTTGAAGAAAGTAAGTGAACATATTTTATATTTTCAATGTTTAATAGTCGTACTTTATTCACCTATGTAAAATTTTATAAATAGCTTCTGTGTAGGAAATGTGATTTTCCATGTGTTGTTCTTTTGTGTACGTGCCTAATGATTCATTTTCAGCATCTGGTACTGTTAATGACATAGAATACCAAATCAATAAATTGATAAATTTTGCACTAGTCTGTTTCTTACTGTTTGTGTCACTCCTTTTTGTATGTGTCTCACCTTTTTATAGTTATATTATTTTTACTCAAACGTTTTAATATTTATCTTAAAGCATACTGTAATTAAGCAGGAAATAGCTTTTAATGGAAAAAGAAAGGCAATATTAACATGAATAATTGTTCAGAAAATCTGTTATGGAAATGTTTATCTACCTTATGCCAAAAAATAAAGCATGTAACCTTCATTTATTTATGAAATTCAAAATTTTTTATTTGCTTAGTGTGTTTTCCCTAAAAATAATTTAATTTCTTATTTTTGAATTTAGTTTTTAAAATTTGCTTTAATATATAATCTTAACTAACTCAAAGATATTGTGCTATTAAAAAAGGAAACTTTATGCCGTAGAAACACAGGTACTTTGTTCCAAATCTGTGTTCATTTTTTTATATATAACTGAATTTTTATGCACTAGTAATTACTGAAATATATCCTTTCATGAATAATAAGTAAGTCCTAAGTCCTTTCATGAATGCATTTCTTTTTGTTTGTTTGATTTTGTTTGTTTTAAAAGATCTGCCATAGTTAAAGAAAGAAATAAAGTAAGAATGCTTTACTTTCAGTTTTGAATAAATTTATTACTATTTACTGCAGCTTCAAGTTTCTCTAAACATAATTTTCGAAGTCAAAACTTGATAGTTATGTTGATTATTAGACTTGCATGAAAAAATTTTATTGAAAAATTAGTATTTGATCTAAAATACCTTAAATTATTTGAATTATATTTTACTAAATCATGTATTTTGATATAACTAGATAGTTAAAAAACTTTTAATTGTAAATGTGCAGAAATGCTTATATAAAACCAAGAAATTGTTTATATTTTTGTTGCTTTTTCCCTTGTAAATTAATTATATATATATATTACAGTCTGGGGAGTCAGCAACCCTGCTGAATTGTAGTAAACGAGACGTCCAATCTACTAGACCATCAAAGATGCAGATTTGGATTTTCTATTCATAGTTATTGAAATCATAATGGTATGTTTGTTTAAATTAGTACTGTTTATGAATGTGATAAAAATAAATTCTGATAAGATAAATGATTTATTTTCTATTAATTATGAACTGTAAATAATGTAACCAATTTTCTTCATGGTATATTTACTAAATATTTTTTTTGTTTATATAAAAGGGAGGTAGTCTTATTTATACAATTCTTGCAGAGATACCAAGAAATAAAACATTTCAGGAATTTTCACTCAGTATATCTTGATGTGTAAAATCGTGTTGTTCAATGCCATATTACTTTTTCACAGGAAAGTAATTTTATTGATCAAACTTTTTTAAGAATGATTACAGTTTCTAAGCTAACTTAAAATTTTCAGATTTAGAAAATGTATGTTTAATGTAGCATTAGTTTTCCATGGAATAGAAAAGGTTTTCAAAATGTTCAGTTGTTAGAGGGAAATAATATAAATGAGATTGTCCTGATACAGTTTCAGCTGGAAATGAAACTGAATTTTCGGATAGTGAAGATTTCATTTAAGAATTCTGATTAAAATGATTAATGTAAATCCTCTTTAAAATTCTAAAAAACTGATTAATGTAATCCTCTGCATTTAAAAATTCTAATAAAACTGATTAATGTAAATCCTCTGCATTTAAAAATTCTAATAAAACTGATTAATGTAAATCCTCTGCATTTAAAAATTCTAATAAAACTGATTTAATGTAAATCCTCTGCATTTAAGAATTTCTAATAAAACTGATTAATGTAAATCCTCTGCATTTAAGAAGTCTAATAAAACTGATTAATGTAAATCCCTGCATTTAAATTCTAATAAAAACTGATTAATGTAAATCCCTCTGCATTTAAGAATTCTAATAAACTGATTAATGTAAATCCTCTGCATTTAAGAATTCTAATAAAACTGATTAATGTAATCCTCTGCATTTAAGAATTCTAATAAACTGATTAATTAAAATCCATCCTCTGCATTTAAGAATTCTAATGAAACTGAATAATGTAAATCCTATGATTCATGTAGGTATTCTTCTGTTATCAGGAGATTCAGAAATGTGTGTTTTATATGCATGCATTTTTAAATGTAGGTGCTCGTGTGTGCATGTGTATATTCTTTATGTATGTATGTGTATATGCGCGCATACATGCATATACACATGCTTACATATCTACAGTGGAACCCCGAGATACGAGTTTAATTCGTTCCAGCATTCAACTGGTTATAGCGAATTTCTCGTATCTAGAAACAAGCTTCCCCCATTGAAAATAATGGAAATTCAGTTAACCCGTTCCACACCCCCCAAAAAATATCAACATTTTAATATCAAGTCAATTTTTCCTAATAAATAACACTGGTAAATAATATAACAATAGTTTAACTTTGTTACCAACATTTTAACTCATTCTCATTAATCCACACCACAACAGCTTCTCAACATCTAGGAGTACTTTTATGGTGCTTGAAGCAACGATAATTCTTTTGGCTACATCAGGTTTCTTAATTTCTTCCTGCTTCTTCAGAATAGTATAGATTTTCGATGTTGAAAGGCCGCAAGTCTTCGCCAATTCCGTCACCATGCTTATGTTTATCTACGATTTCTTTCTTGATATCGACGGCCATGGCCTCCTTATTTTTCTTTGCAACATTATCTGAGGCAACAATCTTCTTGCGAGGCATCTTGAAATAATTATTTTCACGTTAAATGTCAAAACAATTAACTTGCAAGTGCACAAACACGTATATAAAAGAACACTGAGTGATCTGATGAGGGGATTCCCCGAGTTGAGCCGGATAGGGAAATGGCGCCACCCATACCAACAGCCTGGCTCATTGCTTGTTACTCGAATTAATCTCGTATTTTGCTCATACTTTCCTCGTATCTCGAGGTTTCATTGTACATTTCTGAATCCCATCCTAATAACGGAGGAGTACCTTTGCCAGTATTGCAACAGAGCTAGAATGAATTATTGTGTTAAATATGTGGAAATTGCATGCTTAAAGTACTGTTATTTTCTAAAAATATTATGTATGTCTATTTTACAAGAAGGAAAAAATAGCTAAAAGCTGTTAATTTACTCGGATTTATTAGTCCAAAGGGGCTTTGTCCCTAAAGAACTATTGTTTTTGTTTTGCATTGGTTCACTATAAATATCTGTTTCACTTTTCAAACTGTTCCTACCAAATGTTAGAGTCCCTAGTGTGGGATTAATACTCTCTATCTTAGTGCCCTCTATAACCTATGTTAGGGTTAACCTGTATAACCTACAAGGATTGCCAGTTTAGGCGAGATATCTAGGTAGTCATCATAATACGTACCATATTTTTTATTATTTTTAAATTAAATTGAAAGTAATAAACTAGTTTTCAAGAATGGAGTTAAACTAGATTTGCATTCAACTCTAATTTATTGTATTAATGATGTTTTGCTGTAACAAATATGAATTTTTTGTTTAAGTATAATAATTTAAAATGTTTTTTCTAGAGAATGAAGTACTGCCACTAAGGTAAAGGTGCTAACTTGCAAGGTAATTTTTCTATTCTACATTAACTCAATCTTTGTCCTGTTACAGATATATTGGCAGAAATAATGAAAACCTGACATTCAAAAAGAAAAATAATAATGTTGAATGTAGTATATTAGATGGTTAACTGAGGTTTGGCAACTCATTAATAATCTTACACATATTGATTACGAATAACTTTGACAATTACCGGTATTTTTCAATAGTATAAAATTAGGCAAAAACAGTTTTAGCTTAGCACCGATTTTAAATACAACTCTCTTACCAATATTGGTTTGACGAAGGTAAAGTATAATTGAATTTAATAAGTTGGAAATACTGTCTGTCTTTCCATGATTTAAAAAATATTTCAAATAAAACTTCTTTTTTTCAGTTTTTCATGTTATTTGTTTAATGTTATGTAATCTAATTTATCATATTTAGTCACATATTCCATCCCTCTTTGCACTATAATATAATATTTAAAGGACTTATCAGTTTCAGCAATATTTTTTTTTACCAGTATAACATTTTTACCATAACTCTGTTTCTAAATCATATCCTGAAAAATTAAGGAGTAAGTACACAAAGAAGAAAAATGCAAGTAAATAATGGCATTTAGTGTTGTTTATGTGTCTAATATTTGTACTAGATTGTAAAAGTTATATAATTCTATTAGCTTTTTTAAATTATTCTTTTTGAAATTCAGGTGCTTCTTTGCACCCAAATGGTTAAAGCCCTAGTGTGACTTTGGTACTTTGATTTAACTTCTATTCCTATAAATAATCCAGCTGCATACAGTTTACTCCAATTTCTGCTATGTGTAAGGTAACAATTAGCTTTTTTTAAATATATCTTTTACAACTATTCCATCAGGTAGATTTCTTTCAATATTTGCCTTAATTGAGTCATCCTGCTAATTAAGAATTTATTAAGTAATATGTTAAGTTTTTGTGTGTATAATTCATTTTAAGTATGTGCAAGCAAATGCATACATTAACAGTTACGTAGAATTATGTTTTGGGTATCAAATTCAGAAATTTGGGGCTGTTTTTAGAAGATTTATTAATGATTTATACTATATTAATATTGGTAAAAAAATTCTGTGGCTTTTATATGAGAGTATATATTTTAAAATAGCTGCATGATATGGTAGAGGTAAAAAGCTTCATGTGGATCATAAATTAATATTATGTGGCAAATTTTTCATTTATTTAATAAAGAAAATATTCAAGCCACAATTAAAATTTTTCACTGGATTATTTGCATACAAAGTTTGCAGCAATATTTCCTGCAACAGAAGTGACAAATTTTTATTTTGCCAAGACAGGAAATTTAGTTAGTGAAAGCAGTAACCCTATTTTGAGATGTTAAACAGGAAGGCAAATTTTTGAATTTAAATTGATTTTTGAAGGAAGACTTATTTAGTCTTGCTATCATTCTACATGGCTCTTAACTTTTTTATGGTATTTATAATTTTATTGTTATTCAGCATTCTGTTTGCTTAGAATGCACATGAATGTAGACTTGAAATATTTTATATTGCAAACTGAGATGCCATTGTTATCATAATTAAAGATTTTTGCTCTGATTTTGGAGGAATTTACTGATAATACTTTTGATTGTGTATTGGTTTCTGGTTTATTGAAATGTGTAAAATAGCCTGTTAATGCATATACGTATGTTAATGACATGTATATGTTTATGAAGTATTCTGTTATATGTATATAGTGTTGTGATTAGTTTTCTGCTTACTCTTTATTTAAGAAAAAGTTATCTGTAAGAAAGCGAATATTCTTTACTATATGTAGGAGTAAAATGAAAAGGCTAATGCAATATAATTAATACAAAATTAAGTTTTTTTCTCATGTACTTAAATACAAACATAGCCATTAAAGACTTTCTCAACCTTGCAGTTCTAAACAAATCTTAAGTATTTTTCACTTGAAATTATAGGCATTGTGTAAGGTATATAATTGAAGCTTACTGTGTGATAGTGTGAAATTAAATTTTTAATTACTTAAATGTAAATTTTTAAATATGAAATACTCAGTGCATTTTATATGCATCTTTTAATACTTCAACTATATTTAAAAACTGAAAACATCTGAAGTGTGAAATTATTACAAATTTTTCTTTTTCTTGTTTAGGAGCTGTTCTCAAAACATTGGGTGACAAAGAATTCACTTTTACAAAAATCGAGCAGGATATTAAAGACAGCGAACTATAGAAAAAATATGGCGAAGCTGCTGAATTCTGTTTGAATTTTATATTGAAAAAAATACTCTTCAGATTTTTAATGTTAATTTCATTGTTTAACAGTAATTGCAGTTTTTGAAATACCTGTAAAATAAACCTAATTCTTAATTAATTTCATGTGTATTTCTTTTGCAAGTATTACAGTTCATAATACTTCAAACAACTTGAAATTTTATACTTGTTAATTTATGTGGATATGTTCATAATAATTTTATATTTAAATTACTCATTGTATCATATGAGCATAATCTAAAATGCACAGCGTTGACACAAATTAATAAAAAATTAGCCAACTTCTATTGCTTTCTTTTGTCCAGTTGCCTCTTTTTAAATCATTTAATACCATAAAGCTATTTGATGAAAAAAAAAAAAATTGGTATGTCCACATCAACATGCACATTTATATGATTATGTTATAGAAAAAGTCACATGAGATAATATTAATTATTCCTAAACAAATTACTTTTTGAATTTTATCTGGTATATAAGATAAAATAAAGAACATATTTAGGTATTTTGAATTTGCATAATTTTATGAAATTAACAGTTACCTTGTAAAAGGGAACTTTTTAAAAATACCTCAATAAAGCATTTCTTTTGTAGAGGTGAACTTTTAGTACTGATCTAATATATTTAAAACTATGACCTTTTTTTCCCCAATTCAGGTTTATTCTTTAGATTATGTTCCTGCAAATTTAGTCCCCCTCTCATAAATGTGACGATGACTTTTTTCCGAAAAAAAAAAAAAAAATACACGCAAAGGATCACGGTATGATAGGTATACACTGATACAGGCTCTTTACCGAAACACACCGAGAACTTCTAAACAGTAAAAAGAATACCTAGAGACTCTTTCACGGTAGCAGTGTCATTTCTTTGAGTTACATTAAGAAATCGGCTAATATATGCAACCAGCTTACAATTCTGAATAAGCCCACCTTTTACTGTCAACGTGTCTGCAGTTATTTGGAGTTTCTCATTCAGATCTGGCCTTGCTTACTTTATCAATTATTTTGCCCATATTTATTCTTAATTCTCTGGCTGGATCTTTTGTTTCTTCTTTTGTCAAATCTATTATTGAAGCTATCGAGAAATCTACGATCATATTCTGCATAAAGCTATTTTCGGCTATCCTAGAGCTTTCGTATGCCACAGCTAACTCCGATAATTGTTTCAACGTACCTAGATTCCTTAGTTTAATCTGCGGTAGCAACCTCGACATTATCCTTTTGTATGATTCCTGTATCGGGTTTCTCTCCATGTAGTAATCCGAGACATTCCACTTCCCGATTTCCCTTAAGAGGAACACGCAATTCCCCCCCAACCTGATATTTTCAGAATAATCCCAACTACAAACAAACTCTGTTTACTGGGTTAAATGCTTTAATTAACGCAACGTCAAACTTGTACGTCTCCCTGCCGTGTTTACCAATCAAAATTTTTACGATGACTTTAAGCCGCTAATTACATTTCCCTTTTAAACGGACATTGCTGTCGTAAACTTCTGTTGCTCAGAAACTGTATACACTAGGAAGAAGTCTTCTAGCTTTACCACAAAACTTACGACAGATCTGCCACCAAAACTGACGAGTGGCTTCATTGAAGCTTTCATAGCACCTACGAGATGCGTAAACTTATAATCGGGCCTTGTGGGCATTTTACCAGCTTGTAACCTTGCAGGAGCTAAATTAAACTTGCTCTGTCTCCCCGCCCATTCAACTGCGCACGTTGGGCTCCAATGTTCAGAATCTAGTTTCTTTGAATGGTTTTGTGAATTGAATGGTTATAAGGCATTTCTCCCACTTCCCTAGCGTGCCTTCGTGGTGTAATGGTAGCACACTGGGCCGGTATTCCAGAGGTCCGTGGTTCGATTCCCGGCGAAGGCGGTTGCTCATTTTTCATCTCTCCGGCCTTCAAACAAATCCTAATGTCTCTACAGTGGCACCCGAACTAAAAAAAAGGGTTGTGGATGATGATTCTCCGCACCCAGGATTTGGTGACTAGGTCCCCTAAAATCCTAGTCGCCCTTTAAGAAGGGGAGTATATGAGGTATTTTTCCCACTTCCTTAACGTGCTTTCGTGGTGTAACGGTAGCACGTTGGGCCGGTATTCCAGAGGTCCGTAGTTCGATTCCCGTTGAAGGCGGTTGCTCATTTTTCATCTATCCGGCCTTCAAACTAATCCTAATGTCTCTGCACGGTTACTCAGAGATTAAGAGGAGGCGATTAATAGCCTCCTCTTAATCTATGAGTAAAGTAACATCAATAGAAAATATGCTTAAAATAAACGTTTTTATTATTTCATGAGCCAAACAATCCACACCTTGTGCAACAGCTGTAATAGTCTCCGAGACTTACTTGAATCAAGGACTCAAGAAGTTATATTTAAAATCTGAGTTTTGCAAAACAAAGCGCTCCTCCTACAAGCTCCGTTGAGGTCCTCAATTTATGCGAAGAAATATGGCTAGCAAAATTAAAGTAACTCAAAATCTAGGATAATAGTAGCGACTTAATTTGCTTTCTCTGCCAAAAGCTCTTTCTTAAGCTGAAAGACTCTATTCTAACTGGTACCAGCTTATATTTAGTAGCGAGCAGGCAAAACTGGAAGTGACAAAAAAGGCAAGAAGAATAAAATAATTGTTTAAAAAACATAAAACTCTACTATGTTATAATTAAAGTGACGTAAGAATACGGTAAATCTTTTATTAGTTGTTATTTTTGTCATTAATTAATTTAGTTATTGTGCGAAGAAATGACTTGAAGGAATATTTTATTTTTAACCAAATGTGTGAATATAACCAAAATTGAATTCAGCGTTATTTTAAAATAAAATATTAAATAAGTAAACAAAATATTTACTTCTTTCCACACATTAAGTTTTAGGTCTGGAGAACAATATGTTTGTGGAGTTTAAAACACAATTCAATTTGCTTTTTAAACTCGACTTTAGAAGCCATCTGTTTATTACTTCGTGTGTAATGAATCCTGAGAGTGACATGCTGTCGACATTTGCTCACACGGTAGAATTCCAAATATTCCTGCTTTGCTGCATTGAGAGAAAAACTTAAATAAATGACTCCATTTTGGAATATATAGCAGCACCCATTCAGGGAATCCAGCAATATTGTAAATGATGTCATCTGAAAAATGCGTATATTTTATAACGGCAAAGTCAATGTGAGCTTGCAGGGTTGACTACCCAGAGAAGAGAGCAAGTTATCATGATTTAAGGTACTTTCATGGAGGTTGTTTTTTATAGGAGCTAGTGAGATAGGTCATAACATTTCGGAGATACTAGTATATTTTGGATTTCGACAATTTCAAAAATATGCTTCGAATTCTATCTATTCGATGCTTTCTATTTCTTGGTACTTCTATATTCGAGTTTTATTTTCCTATCTTGTTTCTTGTTTTCCATATTTTATATTTAATTATTTTTTTACATGAGAACCTAAAACACACAATACATTCAAAATGAGAAAGGAAAATAATAGAAGTTAAAAACTTACTTACACTGGTGTGCAAAAATTAAGGACAAGTCGAAAAATTAGCATATCAGCTGAACGAAGAGGCAGAGCGGACAAAGACCAATCAGGAGATTAATAAGGTGATTGTACGGTAGCACATGCGCAGATATGCAGGTAGACGTAAAGGGGGATTGTCTGCGTAGTATAAAGCATGTTCGGTGTAAGATCTATTTCTGGCAAAGAGATTGCACGCCGTATAGCAGTTAAATCAATCACACGAGTTGCTGCCTCAGCAGAAATGGCGAATAATCAATCTGTTAGACGACATCTGGATGCTTTTTACCCGAGGTCGAATCATTGGGAAGTTGGAGGAAGGCCGCAGTGTGACAAATGTGGCTGCAGAGTTCAAATTGCTCACAGCATCGTTTCACGCTTTGGAGACAATTTCAAACTACAGGAACAGATATCCGGGGGTTTAGAAGTGGTCGTCCACGAGGAACCACACCCGCCGATGACCGCTATATTGCCTTACAGGCAGAAGAAACAGGGCGGCAGACAGGCGGAGAAATCGCTCGAGAACACAGGCAACTGGACCACCGATATCGCGTTTTACCGTGGCCAGAAGACTGCACGGTGGTGGTCTGTTTGCACGACGCCCCTGTACGGTGTGTACCTCTAAAAACGCCTGCCCATCGAGAAGGCTTTCTCTGTGGTGCCGGGAACACCGGAATTGGAGAGACAAAGAATGGGACGAGTACTCTTTACGGATGAGAGCAGATTCATCTGAGTAGCGATTCTCATCGCATACTCATCTGGAGAGAGCGGGGAAGCCGCATCATCCCTCGAACATCATTGAAAGGGACAGGTATGAGGTGGCGGTGTTCTCGTTTGGGGAGGCATCATGCTTGGTAGTCGTACAGACCTTCACATCTTCGACGCAGGTTCAAGTCAACGGGACCCGTTATTGTAACGAGATTCTCTTCCATATGTTGCGTCTTTTTAGAGGCGCTATGGGTCCGCAGTTCCTTTTCATGGACGACAATGCACCATGTCATCGCACAGTAGCTGCCGAACAGCTCTTAGAGAGTGAGGATATTGAACGTATGGATTGGCCGGCACGATCTCCGGATCTCAATCCCATCGAGCATGTATGGGATTTTCTAGGCAGACGCTTGGCAGCTCGTACCTTACCACCAGTAACGATTCCGGAGCTTCGATTGGCGCTGCAAGACGAATGGACAGCAATGTCTCAACAACTCATTGACACCCTCATTCTCAGCATGGGCAGACGCTGTGAAACCTGCCTAGCAGTCAGGGGAGATTATATCCCCTGTTAAAGACCGAATGTTTCTTGCTGGACACCCATCACAGGGATGTTTCGGCCTTCAGTTGCATTGCGCTCCATGCTACTTTTTCAATAAAGCTTCTTTTTATCCCTCTAATTTCTCTTTTAGTAAGTGTTGCT